GAAACCCCTCAGGGCAGACAGACCCTGAGTCTGGGAGCTGGCAGTGGTGCGGATGCTAACAGAAAGAACCTGTAACTTAATACTGATTTGTTAAACAGACATCCATATAGTGCTTAATAAATGCCAGGCCTCCTTCCAAGAACTTTTCAAATAGTAATTCACTTAATCCCAACAGCCCATGGTAATGATGATCTGAGCAGCAACAGTCCTCATTCACTAAGCATCTGTCCTGCCGCAGTCAACCAGGCAAAACGCTGGCACATATGTTATCGTCTCCTGTGCTAGCGCCAAGCACTTCGCTTCCCCTCTGCTGCTTTGACCATTTATTGAGGGCCTACTATGTGCAAGGCTTTATTCTATGGGCTTTACATTGATCACCACATGGTTTCATTGAATCCTTACATCATGTTGAAGTATAACAACAGCATAATAGCAGGTAACGTTTGAGTGCTCTCTCTGTGTCAAGTGCCTTATCTCATTTAATCCTTCCCAAAGCCCTATGAAATATGTGCTGTCAACATCCCCATTTTACAGATGATGAAACTGAGGCACAGAGTGTTAAAATGGCTTGCCTGAGTTCAACCAGGATTGTCACCGCCACTACCCCATGCCACCTGCCGGCCAGTCGCATCTTAATTATGCTCATCTGGGGGGGTGCCAAACCGAGGCCACCAAGATATAAACTTCCTGATTCCAGGTCCCTTTGTTGGTCCCAGGATCAGACCTCTTGTTCTCTCTTTCCAAACGCCTAGGCCATTTTCAGGATCTGCTACGGGTGGCACCCGGGCCCGGGGCAGGACAGCTTACCGAACTCGGACTGCAGGCGGGGGTAGACAATCCTGAAGACGTAGTCCGTGGCTTCGTCGTCTTCTTTGTCTGAGGACGTGGACTCGGCGGAACCCTGGGGGCTTCGCTTGCGCAGTTTGGGAAATACTTTGCCCTGAAAGGACATGTTCCAGTGCACAGTCCCTGGGACACACCTGCCCCCGAACTGCATGGCCCGTGGGTCTTGACGGGGTGCGTGTGAGCCCGCAAAGCCACCTGGGCAAGAAGGACCACGCCCCATGGCTGACCCCATCCCCAGCCTCCCGGGCCCCCACATCACTCACCTTCCCCCGCTGAGACCAGAGCGGGGGGTCCAGCTGCCCGTGTGGGAGCAGCCCGTTCTCCAGGCACGAGAGGAACTGCAGGAGGTGCCCTCCCTTGGGGAAGTGGAAGGGCGGCCTCTGGATCCCGTCCTGGCTGACCAGCACCACCGTCCCGCCGCTGTCCACTGCCATGTGACCCGGCCACAGAAGACCCAGCAGGAAGTCACTAAGGGGCATGGTGACGGGGCCCTCCCGGACAACACATCCTCCCAGGCCCAGACACACGGGCCCGCTCTGAGGCTCTGGGACAGGCCTGGACAGAAGGTCAGGGGCAGTTTTACCCCCCCTAAGTCCCTTTCATCCTACCTACCATGGTCATTGACTGGAAATTGTAGGACGTGGTCAAGAAGAGTGTGGGCGGCCTCCCTTCAGCCACCCACCAAAGGAAAAGGTAGCCCCAAACACCCCATGCCCCTCGAGCACCCTACAAATCCCCTGACCTATTTTTGTATGGAGGCTTTCAGGTCCACCCCTCTCAGGGCAGTACTTAACTGTTGCTAGCATGGATTGAGCACTAACTGTATGTAAGCACATCACGTTAGAGTCATCTAGTTGTAGTACTCAAAACAGAAGACATGTCTATTATTAACTATTTTACAAATATAAAACTGAGGCTCAGAGAGGTTATGTAACTTGTCAAAGGTCACACAGCTAGTAAGCGGCAGGGCCTGGATTTGAACCCAGGTCTACGTCATTAAATAAGCTTAAATGTTTCTGCACCTTGGAGGGCCACAGATCCCTTGCTTTCCAAAGCAGATAACTCTCTGCTTATTATGAATATACCTTCTTTGAGCTTTAGAGAGGAACTCTAGTTATCAATCCCAGATCTGTGGAGCACTGACTTTGGAGTGGCAAAGGCTCTGGAGCATGTCTTTGTGCCACCTGCTTCCTCACCTGTGAACTTGGAATGGCACAGTACCTATCACTGGGTGGCTGTGATGATTAAATAACAGGCATGTGGATACTCAGGACCATGCCTGGCACATCACAAGCACTCAGTAAGTACTGGCAACTAACACCATGGGTTTGATGCTGAGCCCTTAACATATGTCACTGATCCTCACAATAACCCCATGAGTAGGTGCTCGTATGACCCCCCAATGAGGGGAAACTGAGGCTCAGAGAGATGAAGTCACTTGTCTGAGGTTGCACAGGCAAGAAGAGGGTGAGGATGGGGGGCATCCAAGTGGAGTACCCCAGTCCTGTGCTCCCCATTGCAGTCCCTACCTTGCTGATGGCAGTGCAGGTAGACAATCTCCTCCAGGCGGATGGTCATGGCATAGTCCCAGTAGACACTGGAAGAGGAGGGAAGGTTAGACTTGCAGGATGTCTACCCCCCTCATCGTGGGGAAGGGACCAGGAGGCCAGAAGACCACACCCATGGGCTCCAGGACCCACCTATCCCTAGCATCTGTATCAGTCTTCCCAGACTCTATTTCCTCCTCTCAGGGTCCAATTTCCTAAGGACCCCTCCTCCTTTGCCCCAAGTCCATGTGGCTGAGGCTGACCTCACCCACACTCCACCCCAGAACTCCAGGAATGGCCACCCATTCCTGATGGAGGCGGGACCAATCAGCGTATTTCACTGTTCTGGCCACAGTGATTGGCCACGGATGACCCCGTGACACAAGCAGAACCAATGAGATTCAATTACTGGATTTATTTTAGAATTACCTGGAAAGAGGGGATGGGTGGATGGCTATTAGGGCTGGGTACTCAAGTCCTATCTTTTTATTTATTTATTTATTATTTGTATTGATTTCAGAGAGAGGAAGGGAGAGGGAGAGAGAGATAGAAACAACGATGAGAGAGAGTCACTGATCAGCTGCCTCCTGCACGCCTCCTACTGGGGATCGAGCCCGCAACCCGGGCATGTGCCCTGACTGGGAATCAAACCGCGATCTCCTAGATCCTAGGTCCATGCTCAACCGCTGAGCTACGCCAGCTGGGCAAGTCCTACCTATTTTTATGTTGGAAATTCTCACAATCAAATGTTTTTAAGAAAGCAAGACGATGTAAGAGCACAGTAAGGATCAGATGTGGACTCAGAGTAGCAAAGACTATGGCTTCTCCTCCTCACCAGCTGCCAAGACCCCCCAAGCTGATCAGGCCCCCGCACCTTGCACAGTTTGGTTCTCCCTAAAATTGTCCCTGGTTGTGTGGGAACACAGGGCATTGCAGCAGGGAATCCCCAGTCCCGTGTTTCTTTACAGCATGACGCCAAAGCTTTTGCTGAGTCTTATAAATGCCAGGATATCAGAGGAGACACAGCCGTGGACCAGATGCCCACCCACTGACGCTTTCTGCTTCCTTTTTCATTGAGTGATGGGAAAGTTGGCAGCAGGCGGGGGAATAGTTGGCATTTGTAGGCTTATGACATCTTTGTTAAGATACTTCTGGGTGGTGTTTTGGCCAGGGCTCTGCCTAACTCCCACACCCTAAGATTCTTCCAGTCAGTTCCCAGATCCTCTCAAGTCCTTGAGTTACCCATGAGGCCACCGCTGCAGGGAGGTTGGGCCAAGCAGCTATAACAGCCAGATGGAGCAATGGGTAGGGTCAGGGCACAATCTTCCCTGTGCCAAGGGGAGGGGCAGGACCTGGAGCCCTACCTCTTCTCATAGTCCAGGTCTCCCACAGACCCATTCATTAGCTGGTTGGGCGTCCACTTCAAGGTCATGATGTCAGCCGTCTGGTGCAGGGACAAGTACCCCGGGACAGCTTCCATGTCATCTCTCTGCGGATAAAGAAGGACTCAGGCCTGCTCGTAGTGCCAAAGTCAACAGTGAACATGGTCCATTTAACTCAAGAGCCTTGGTCTTCCCCATATGCCTGCAGAGCTTCCCACCTGCTCTACTGTATCTCAAGTTGCAGCTAGGGGGGTAGAGAGGGCTGTCTCCAAGCCTCACCCATAGAGGCGACAGCCCCTCCACCGAATTCACCTCAACAACATTTGGAGACTGACCACTAACATTTACTGAGCATCTGGAATGCACTGAGCATGGCTCAGGGTCACGCACACTGTCTCGACTTAACCACCCAAGCCTGCAACCCCACCAGGGAGCATGGTTGCAGGCTTCCATCACTCTAAGGTGCTCATCTGTCTTCCACATTTTAACATACCTGAAATGAGGCTGCATCTTAGAGTCAACAGCATCTCACCACTGGGATGTGGCTGTCATTGCCTGGTCTCATGCAACCTCGGTCACAGCTGCTCATATTGTCACTTCAATTAAGTTTTGTGCATGGTGGTTACTGCACGTGTGGAGCACAGGTGCTATTTTCAATGTCTTCCAACAGATTACACTGCCATTCAGCTTTGAATCGAAAAGCTACTGTGTATGTAGAAAGCCTGGGAATGCCCACAGTTTGAGACCTTTTTGCAAATCAACCACCAACTGCAATGCTTGCAAGAAATGCTGCACCACCCGTGCTCTGGATCAGAGGTCAGCAAACTTTTTCTGTAAAGGGCCAGATAGGGAATATTTTTGGCTTTGAGCTATACAGGCTGAGGTGCAGCCACTCAATGCTGCTACTGTAGCACGAAAGCAGCCATACACAGTAAGTAAACTAGTGGATGTGGCTGTGCTCCAATAAAACTGTATAAAAACAGGTGGAGGGCTGAATTTGACCCACGGGCTATATAGTTTGTTGATCCTTTCTCTTGATGGAACAGAAAATGATACTTGGTGGAAAAATAAGGAGATCAGATGACTCTAAAGTCCAAAAGTGACACAGAAAATTAGACCCTGAAATGTAAGTCCATTTTAGGACTATGTATTTCAATTTTATTTTCTCTTATGTATTCTTAAGAGAGTAATATATTATTTTTTTAAAATTATATCCAAATAAATCTCAAAAAGCTCTTTCAAAAAATATAAAATAAAATTTTCAAGTAGAGAGGAAAACACTGTATATAATAGCATTTTTAATGTCCTGATGGTTATGTTTTAAAAATGGTGCATCTTAAATGCACGGCTTCTTTGGTCTCAGGAAATAGGGTGTTGTACCTATTACGATGGAGATACTGAGGCTCAGATGCAGAAGTGACTTGCTCAGGGTCACCCCGTGATCGTAACTGTGACCACAGAGCTGGAGTGGCCAATGGCTCTCCCTCTGCTTCTCTCAGCTGAGCCCAAATACCACACTGACCCTAATGTTCCTGAGGAGGGGACAGCAAAGGAGATGTCCGATGAGCACAGGGGCTTCATACACCTTACTGGGCCTGTCCCAGTGCAGGGATACAGAAGGTCACTGGTAAGTGGCAGACTCTGGCACCAGCCAGCCTGAATTCAAATAAGAACTGTCCCTTACTCCGTCCATATGGGCCTTATAACAGCCCCTGCTTCAAATCAGTTGTTGTGAGGCTGAAAGGAGGTGATACAATTAAAAGCACTTAGCACAGTGCCTGACACATACAAGATGTCGACCTTGATATCCTAAGCATCTAACGCTTTGCAGGTTCCACATAACCGTTTGTTGAGTAATAACAAGAGAGAATGAATAGATAGATGGCTGAGTGCACGGGTAGATGGACAGAGGGACTGGAAAATAAATGGACAAACGGATAGATGGGTGGAAGAATATAAATACGGGCAGATGGATGAAGGAATGGTGGGAAATGCAAGAACAGAGGGATGGTAGATACAGAGACTGGAAGAGAAGTGACGAGCTGGCTGGCTGGAGATACGGATTGATGGATGGATGCATGGATGGATTCGATAGAAGGAAATATTGGGGCATGTAGATGAATGAATGAAGGAAATATTAGCATATGGATGAATGAATGGAGAGAGGAAGTATTAGCAAACGAATAAATAGATGGGTGAGAGGTAGATGGGTGGATGAATGAATGAGCAACCTAGAGCCAAAGGGAGTTTCTCTATAACATGGAGCGAGAGCCCCCGTGGAAGATCTGGGCCCAAGATGAGCTCTCACCGGCTGAACGAGAACGTTGTTTTTGCCGTAGAGCAGGGTGGCCCGGGAGTTCTGGTGCAGGGACTCCACATAGTCTCGGGCGGAGAGGGATGGGCGGTCATCCATGCTGCCACTCGAATGCCTCTTCTGGATCTGGTGGTGTGAGCGGAGGTAGAGGAAGAGGCCAGGAGTGACCTTCAAGGCCCTCACGCCGAGTCAGGAACTCAGCCTAACTCCCCCACAGGCTCCCACTGCCCATCCCACTCACGCAGAGGGCTGGGCGCTTGGTGGGCGAGTCCTGTCGCAGATGCGAACTGTGGATGCGGTGCCTCTGGACGAGCTCGTCGGCAGAGGGGTCGGTCCAGAAGTGATCCGCAGTCTTCATCTTGGTGTATTCGAGCGCACAGGGCCCCACTGCCGAGCAGATGGGGGCTGGCAACCCTTGGCTCTGGAAACTCCGCCCTCCCGTCTACCACCAGCTAGGCCACCCATTGCACTGCCCCTCTCCTCCAGCCAGCTGGGATGCCCCAGGGTCCTGCTAAGGCAATGCACAAGACCCTGGGAGCGAGAGACAGGGTACGGGTAAGTTTTGATGGGGGAGGCTGGGGGAAGGTGAGAGAGGCCCTTAGGAGGTGCCCTGTGAGCCGAGACAGTCAGATGAAGCTCTGTGCACCAGACCACTTACCCAACAAAGACGCAAGGATGGGGCCATCTACAGGGTCCATCAGGAGCGCTTCCTTTTCGTAGTATTTACTAGCAAGAGAGGAAAGAACATGCAGGTTTGGGTGGTGACCAGCAGAGGGTGCACAATCCACCATGGCCTGGTAGTTAAGGGCAGAGAGACTGGGTTCAATCCCCCTCTTGTCACGTGGTTACGTCTGCAAGCAGCCGCCCCATCTGCGAAATGAAGACAATAATGTATCTCATGGGGATGCTGGAAGGACTTTCGAGAGAGAAAACAGATGTAAGGTGCTGATTTTAGCACGGCGCAGGCATGTAAGTGCTTAATACACGGCTGAAATAAATCCCTTGATGAGGCAAAGGGAATAACAGTTAGAGGGCTGCTGAGGCCTGGCTGGCTCTGTCTGCTTCTACCGCATCTCCCACTTCAGACAGGAAGTCATTTAGAGGCACGGACAATACCTACGCTTCTGATATTATAGAGGCGATAAAATGCTTCTCAGAGACACTAAGCGATTCCCCCCGTGGCCACATGGTTGGGAGCAGACTATGGGCTTAATCCACCAGAGAAGAAAGATCACCAAGATCTCAGGATCCTTATGCCACACTCCAAATGCGAAGACCCTGCATTGCTACTGAAGACCCGCCTCTCCCCAAGGTCCTAAGCAAGGCTGGCTCGGATTCAAACATCCAGTCAATGCAGACGGAGGGGAAAGAGAGAAAGCTTTGCGCAGGAGGGGACAGTTCCCAAGGCTGCCAGCAGGCGGGGGCCGAGCGCGCCCAGGCGGCTGGGTCCCGCCCGCTCACCTGCTGTTTTCCACAAGGTAATGCACGATTTTGTCCAGGACCTTCTCAAACAAGGCCGTGCGGATCCACAGGTGCTTGATGGCAAGCGGGGACAGGTTGGGCAGCTTCGGCAGCTTCCGCACATTCTCCTGGAGGCCCTGCATCTGGTTTCGCCTTGGAGGCCAGTAAGAAAGGGGAAAAAGATATTCACAGAGAGACCAGCATGCAAATGGGAACAGGTTCCACCTCTCCAGGAAATGAGGAAACGGCAGCTAAAACCATATTGCTCCTGGTAAATGGGTAGAGAGTTGAAAAATAATAATAATAACCAGTGAGCGTGAAAATGTCCTAAAACAGGCAATTTCATACACTGCTGACGGGTAAGCGAGAATCCCAAACTGATATCTCTCTCAACATCTATCTATCAATCTATCTGTCTATCTATCTCTGCTGGAAAGGAGAGTCCTGGATTATAGATTCTTCAGTGGCTCCTGACTGCCCTTGAGAAGCAAGCTTAACATGACAAGAGCTTGTTTCTTGGGCATTTACCAGGTGCTAGACTTTCCCAGAGGCTGGGGACATAATGGGAACAACACAGGTGGAGTCACCTGTCCTCATGACTTCAGGGAAAAGGGGAGACAGACATCAACCGAGTAAATAGTAAATAAACAACTAAATGAGTAATTTCAGGTGGCGATAACCACTGGGAAGAAAATACACAAAGTGGTACAAAAGAGAAACGGGGTGAGGGATGGGGTTTACCCTTAGCTAGGGGGAGGCCTGAGTGATGAGGAACCAGCCATGGAAGATGAGGGATGTGACCGGGGTGCACGACACAGCATAAGCAAAGGCCCTGGGGTGGAAAAGAGTCTGGCAGGTCCGAGGAGCAGAAAGAGGAGCGGAGAGAGTGCTGGGAGACAGGAGCTCTCACAGAGCCCTGGGGGAGCATGGCCTGTCGGACTGGGGGACTGCTCCAGCCTGCGCCCTGTGCTCGGCACTCACGCATTCTCGATCAGCTGCTCCAGGTCCTGGACCTTGCGGCTCAGCTCGTCAGCTGGTGGGAAGCTCTTGCCCACCTTCATGAAGAGAGCCGCGATCTTGTTGCTGCGCAGGAAGCCGGCCGCCCGCCGCCGCAGTCCATGCAGGACACAGGCCTCCACGGCCGCTGCGGGGACACAATGGTCAGCAGGCCCTGCCCTGCCCATGCTCCCCAGCCCCCGGCTCGGCTGGAGTTTCAGCCACACGGGCCTCTTGGAGAGCTGGGGGCCCCCAGAATCACAGGTCTGTGACAACATCACAGGGAAAAGCATGTAGGCCTCTCCACCTCCCAGCCCCCTAGAGGGGGAGAGAGGGCAGTGGCTCACCCACACTCGGCCCAAGGTGGCACCACCTGGCTGCAACTTCTCCCAGCCCCTCCCGCGGTGTGACTTGGGCAATGACTTCCCCTCCCTGAGCCTATTTCCTCATCTGTAAAATGGGGACGGGATGAACATTAACCTCCTTAGGTTGCTATCAGGATGAGGTGGAAAAAAATGCATGGAAAGCACTTAGCACAGAGCCGGGGGCTTAGTGAGCGCTGTCCCACTGTTACCTATCCCTCCCCTTGATGGGGGAGGGCAGGATAAACCACGGGACTGTTGAGTGTCATCTACGTCAAGAGTGGCATCATCATCACTATTGTGATTCCAGGAACATCTGACATTATAACAGGCTCCTGGGTGGTGTCCCCAGTCATCTGAACAGAAGCTTACGGGCTTCTCCACGGGGCCAAGATCACAAGAGGGAAACTATAGCCTGTCCTGCATTACGAGACACTCTGATTGTGAAATAAATAGCCTCTTGGGGGGGGAAAATGACATGTTCCCACCTATATGGACACACTGATTATGAGCTGAATCCTGACTTCAGGGACACACAAAACACGTGTCTCTCTAGCCCTTAGGAATGTACAGTAAGGACCTGGCAGCGGTTATTTCTGGAGCCTTGTGAGCGTAGCTGGCACATGGAGAGAGGTCTGGGTCACGCTCCAAGCTCCGGTCCTGCCTCCTCTGCTGAGCACGCTAGACACCATCCCTCAGGATATGTGAACGGCTCTTAATTCCCTATTTTTTTTAAGGCCCCATCCATCCTCTCCCTTTGGTTGGCAACAGCCTCAGGCAGAGCGGGGAAAGGACATGGAGCCTGTGCCTCACATGCCTGCGTGGGGTTCAGAGTCAAGCTTAATTTCTTCTCTAGGCTCTTCTGTATTTCCCAGTTCCCTAACCGAGCCCCTTTGGAATCCAAAAATAACCTCAGAGTTACAAAGCAGAAAATGACGTCAGAACCCCCGCTCAAACACGCCACCTCCCCGGGGCAGCCCGCACGGGAAGAAGCCACTGTTCAAGGCCACGGGCCACGGACTCACCACAGAAGGAAATGATGTGGCTGCTGTCCTCGTGGACGAACTTCCGTGTGACGGCCTCCTCCATGATCTGCTTCACCTGGAAGGCAGAGGCAGCTGGAGGGGAGCCCCCAACGCGATTTGGGGTGCAGACCCCCCGGCCTTCCCAGGCTGTCTGGGACACTGCGATGACTGCTTTCCCCCTACGCCCCATTCGCCAGGTCTCCTGTAGGTCCACGGCCTGTGGCCCGGGACAGCTGCACACTCCACATTTTACTGCATTATTCATTCAGGCTCTTTGCACGGCAGGCTTCTCGGGGTCACACAGAATGTCATCTCCTTCCCTGGCCATGTTATCTAAGGCAGCCCTCCCCTGCCTCCACCCATCCCTCTTACAGGGACCTTGCTCTGGAATACTTACACTATTCCTGTCCCGTGTGTGTTTAGTGTCTGCCTAGAACACACTGCTGTATCCATGGAGCCTAGTGCTTAGTAAGAGCAGTGCCTGGTGCATAGTAAGCGCTCAATAAATGTTTTCTAAGTGAGCGGATGAATGAATGAACGAACGAATGAGTGAAGCAGGCTTATAAAAGAACCAGGAAAGCGCCATGTAAAAATTCAGCCCTGGAATTGGGCAGACCTGGGTTCAAATCCCTGCTCTGCACTTACCAGCTGGATTTGTGATCCCATTTTGGGGAAACAGAGGTTCAGGGAAGCGAAGCAACTCGCCCGGAGCGGTGGAGCTAGCCCAGGGCTGAATTTTTCCAGTACCTGACCTACTGAATGGGACTCGGGGGTGTTTATCAAGCCTTCCAGGTGATTCTCAAGCACACTCAGACTGCAGTAGAGGACTGGAGGGGAAGGAGCAGGACAGGGGAGGGTCTCAGTGAAGCCCCACAATCCTTAAGGAAGAGCCGGAGCAGTCCCGGCTCCTGTCCAGGGACAGCCAGGCCCTTCTCCTGGCCTCCCTCCCGCCCCCATCAGGCTGGGGGAAGTGACGGGTCCTGGCCCTCCTCACCCCAGTCACAGGGTGCGGCACCCTCCCTTGTCTCCCAGCATCCCCCGCCTCAGTCAACAGCCGCTTTATTAAATTTGCCCTAATATACTCAGTTTGGGGAGCCATCTGTTTCCTATTGGCACCCTGACTGTACACACACTGTGTCAAGTCCACAATGCAGAGCAGTGATGGCTCCGTTTACAGTTGTGGATCCTGAAACTCAGAAAGGGTGACCCCTCTCTCAGGACACACAGCCAGTAAAGTGACTGCAGGAAGGGGACCGTGGCTGTCCGGCTCCAGGCCTCTTGTCCTGGGGATGGATGGGTGGTGGAGGTGGGACTGCAAGTGAGGACCTCTCCCCACCTCCCCTGGCTCCCAGATGTGGGCTAGAACCTCTCCCTCAAAGTTAATAACAGGCTGACATTCCCAGGCCAGGAGAAGAAATTAAGAAGGCAATGTGGATAGGAGCCTCCCCCAGAAGGTCATGGAGAGCTTTCCAGAAGACGGCATCGTCTCACTGTAGGAAGAAAGAAGCTGCTGCCCGGGGGACACCCCAGAACTGTGGGAAGGGGAGAGGGCCGGGCAGCCACTAAAGGCCTCTGAAATTCAGCCCAACCACCTCCCCACCCTCAGCCTCCCAGACATGGACTTGAACTTGGTCCACTTTGAAGGGACCTCGGGCTCGTCTGGGAGCAGGGCAGCAGCAATGTGGCAGCCTGGCTCCTGGCAATCTGTGTGATTTTCTAAGCTTTGGCCCAGAAACCTGCCTCACCAAGGAAGCACAGAGGCAGTGGTGTGGTTGGTGTGACTTCGGAGTCACACGGACCGACACTTACATCCCAGCTCGGCCACCATGTCCCAGGTGAGCTCAGCCAAGTTGTGCACCCTGCTGGTGCCTCAGCTCCCTCTTCTGCAAAGTGGAACCTATCGCCCTGCGGGGCTGTGATGAAGATTAGACGTGCTGTTAAGCGTGAAAAGACAGGCTGGGCCAGTAATAGTTGGAGTTTTGTGACGCTGGGGCTCACTGGCCCGGAGCGGATGTTCCAAACCAGGGCCACACTGGCCTCTGGGCCTGGCCTGGCCCTGCCCCTCCACGTCAGACCTCCGAGCACCTGCCCACCTCTGGCCCCACCCTGCAAACCCTGTGAAACCAGCCCGGCCCTCCAGCCATTCCTCCCTCCACCTGCAAATATTTAAACAGCATAAAAGGAGGCTTTATCTCAGGAGGGAGGCAGGCAGGCAGAGAAACCCTGGCCAATCTGCAAAGCAGGAAGGGGAGCTCCTGGGGCTCCCAGGCCTGCCCTGTCTACTCCCCTCCTGACATCTGCCACCCGCCCACACCCAGGTTCCCTCACGCTGCCCACCTTGAACCCTGCCAGGTTCCAAATGCACTTGCTACTCCTCTCTACCTCCCCACACTGTGCCGTGTTCACGCTCTCGAAACTCCAAAAGGAAACAGCACGGCCCCATGTCCAGAGCTATCGTAAGGATTACGGAAAACGCAGGCAGAGGGCCTCAAACAGGACCCAGAGCACAGCTGGCACCATATAAAGGGAGGCACGGAGCACTAAGAACATGAGCCTGAGAGCCACCAGACCCACGTCAAACTCCAGCTCTGCCATTAGCTGGGTGACTTCAGGCCTCAGTTTCCTCATCTGTGAAATGGGCACGATACCCGCACCACCTCCCAGGGCTGCTATGTGAGAATCCCATAAAAACACGCGCAGAGCTCTTGCTGTTCTGTCCCAAAGGGTGTTTGCTGCTTTCTATCCTAAAAGAGCTGCATTTGATACCAGCCTTTGCAGATGACACTCATCACGGTCTCCACTACTCAAACTGATAATCTCTGGACCTGGTTTCAAAGAACAATGCGGAACGGAATTCAGGAAGAATCTGCAGACATTTCGTGATTATTTCCAGTATTACATTTTTCATCATTCCTGAGCTGATAGCCATTTATAAAAGATACCGGGAGGCCGAGGAAATCAGCATGACCCAACTAGAAAAATTATCGGGGTGTTTCATTAACAAGAATCAAATTGATGCCTTAGTAATGGAGAAACCAAAAGACACCACCTCAGTGTGATCTTATATTAAACCTGGATGCCTCAAATCTCTTGAGCATTTTAAAATAGAAATAAATTCTGGCTTTAAAAACTTAAAAAAACAAAACAAAACATGCGCAGAGCTCACCAAGAGGCACGAGCTCAGACCACCCTGTCTAAAACAGAGCACCTTGCTTTATGCCTGTCCTTAGAGCTTGCCACAGTCTGACTTTCACTATATACCTGTGGGTTTATCCATTTCGTGTCTGTCTCTCGTGCATAGATCTGGAGCCCCTAGGACGGTGCCAGGGCACGTGGAAGGTGCTCAGTATCTGTCTGGTAATCACTCTGATTATATTAATCACACTAGTACCAGCAGCCAATGCTTACTGAGTTCCGTTCCTCGCAGTGACCTAAGCCCCTTGGACACCCACTCACTTGTTTGTTATGTGCGTAAGGCTGGGGTTGGCAAACTTTTTCTGGAAAGAGACAGACAACAGCTATTTCAGGCTTTAAGCTACGGCTGCCAGATAAACCACAGGGTGCCCAGTGAAACTTGAATTTCAGATAAAAAAGGAATTTTTTTTAGTATATGTACACACAGGAATAGATAACTTGTTGTTCTGAAATTCAAGTCATTCTGAAATTTTATTTGCTGAATCTGGCAAACCTATCTTCAGGCCACAATAGTCTATGTCGAATAGTCTCATTTTTACAACCCTTTGAGAACGTAAAAACTGTTTTTGGCTCAGGAGCAGTACACAAACAGGCTGGGTTGGCCCACAGGGCCCCGTTGAAAGCACCCAGCACAGTGCCTGTGGCGCACAACAGACCTAAATAAACATCACCGAGTGTCACCTGCTCCTCAGAGGCCTGCTGCCTCGGTCCTGACTCAGGTGGTGGGTGGCTGGCCCTGCAGGGGGGTGAGTAATGCTGAGCCAGCACTGGCCTATGAGAGGGAGGCCCGAAGGCAGGCACCCTGACTCTTACATTTGTAAGAAACTGGCAGGTGGAGAGAACAGTTAAGTAGGATGCCTGGGGAGCCTTGGGGAGGCTTTAAAAATAACTCTCAGCATGTGGGGAAAAGAAGGGGATGACTCAAAGGCCCCTCGACAGCCACCAACCACCGGGGCTGTGCTGCTCTGCAGGCACCCCAGCTGCTCGGAACAAAATGCACCCACCTAGCCCTGGCAGGTAGTTCAGTTGGTTAGAGCATCGTCCCGATACAACAAGGCTGCGGGTTCGATCCCTGGTTAGGACATATAAGAATCAACCAATGAATGCATAACTAAGTGGAATAACTAAAGAATGTTTCTCTTTCTTTCTCTCAAATCAATATATATATATTTAAAAATGCACATACCTTAGCAGGCCAGCACCTCCGGCCCTGGTTCAAAGCACTGACCCTTGAACACAGGTCCCTGAAGGCAGTGCCATGGGCTCATCTCCCTGCCTTTGCTCACGTAGTGCCTTCTGCCGGGTGCCCCTCCATGTGTGCTCCAGCTGGCAAACTGCAGCTCAGGCTACAGCCTGGGTGTCACCTCTTCCTGGGAGCTTTCCTGGACTTTCCATACCCCAAGTGGGAATAAGTGTGCCTCTTCCACATTCCACTAACACTTGCGTTCCCAGCATTTATCACATGAACTGCAACTGTTGCTCATTCACTCAACATTTATCAGTGCCTCCTATGTGTCTGGGGCCACATGGCAATCAGAGTCCCTGTCCTCATGGAAATGACAATCCAGCAAAATGTAGTCATTAAGTAAATCACGCAAATGGGTAATATTTACAAAACGAGACCAGTTTTCCGCAGCAAAAGAACTTTGTTCTATTAAATAACTGAAACTGGGTAGGTAGGGAGGTCATGGAGGGCTTCCTGGAGGAGGTGAGGCTCCAGATCTGAAGTACAAGTAGAAACGAACTCTGTTGGCCTCAACTCTAAAGCAGAGGGAAAAAACTCTCCCCTGCAACTGCCCCCACAGGCCGCCTTGGAGCTCAGAGGAAGGAACAGATGTATGGACCACGTGGCAGGGAAAAGCACTGCATGGAAATAGC